CCCCGCTGGAGCACGCAGGCGGGGCGGGGGGGGGGGGGGGTGCATGCTGTTTAGTGTCATACAAGCAATTGGCCAGCTGTAGAGTCGGCCAAACGCATTTACGTTACCAGCTGTTTACATTCTCATTTGTGCGAGCAGAAAAAAAACCACGACCATGTACGTCCACCTGCTGGGAACAGTCCGCTGTCCACCCATGTATGGGCATGTAATGGGTGGATGGCAAGTGGTTAAAAACACAACCGTGTTTTAAAGCTGAACTCTGGGAAAAGCAAATGTTGTCTAATACAAGAGTCACGTGCATTTGTACTTGAACTTTGGTGTTCTTTGTATAGCTCTTCCAGATCTGTGAAGTAATCCAGCGTGAAACGTTTCCTGTAATAAAGACCAGCCACTGACACTCTTATCTGCTTGTGCAGGCTGACTGGTCTGGTCTCTGCCCCCTCTTGTAATTTTCTGCAGACCCCTCCCACAGCTCTGCTCTCTGCGCAGGGTATGTACAGTAGAGTGATGATATCCCTGCTGCTTTTACAAGGCACAATCTGGGTTCATGAAGGCATTTGTTGCAAACATTTGTGTCTGGAGTTCAGCTTTAATAAGGTAAGTCAAAATCTTGGCACCAAACAGAAGCCTCCATTGGACACGCTGCACATGGTCGTGTGAGCACCACTGGGACAGACAGAGGCAATGCTTTGTTGTGCAGCCTGAGTTCATGTATCCGGTGCACGCTGATTGGACAGGGAGGGGCGGTCAGTCAGTCAGTCAGTCAGGGACTTCCCCCGGCTCTTCTCTACTATACAACAGCCTGATTTCCCAGAAATGATGCTTCGCTCTGACTCCCCGCGTCGCCCAATAGGGGCGCAGTATCCTCTCTAGGGGCGGGGACACTGACTTTATACCTGGCCTCCCGCTAGTGGCATGTACACAGCTGTCTTCTGACACTTCTTCTCAGTACTGGATTTCTATTCCCTGCATCTGTGAGGACACACTCCACTAACAGGTACAACATTCACCGACACAGGAGACTTATGGATAGATCCGGGCTCATATCGTTCTGTCACTGGGAACTATGCTAAGCCTTATTCAAAACACACAGCATCTGGCTGCTGCAAAGTGACATGCTGAGGAATAAGTCTATCGATCATGCATGGGAGCGGGGTGCTTCTTCTGGGGTGTATGTGCGTGTTACTGTCATTGCATTGTATACACAGTGTATTATCTGCTGCAGATCCAGCACGTACAAGGAAGTTCAGGGAGAAAAATAACAAGACAAGTAGTGTGGGTGTGTGTGCTTGTGTGTAAATGTGGGTGTGGGAGTAGGGGGGTGCAGGCTGCGGATGGGACTATAGGTAGTAACTTTAGGGGGCTGCATGTGGTCATCAGTGAAGTCTAAAGGTAGGGGACTGTAGAGAGATATAGTACATGTGTATATATAGGACTATACAGTATGTAAGGGAGTATATAGGTGTGGGTGTGTATATAGGACTGTAAGTAAGGGACTATAAAGGGGTGGGTATGTATATGGGACTATAGTGGGGGTCTCTGCACATTGCTTTCTGCACAGACACATAGAACTATTAATTGGGAATAGTGATAGGTGGGTGTGTTTATGGGACTGTTAGTACAGGACTATAGAGGGGTGTTCATCAGTGTGGTCGCAGCATAGGCACATGGGACTGTTAATAGAGAAATAGGGTTGCATGTGTTCATCAGTGGGGTCTCTGCACATTGCTTTCTGCACAGGCACACAGAACTATTGATGGGGGACTAGAGATAGGTGGGTGTGTTTATAGGACTAGTAGTGTGGTCTCTGCACATGGCACATAGACCTATTAGTAGGGGTTAGGTGTGTGTGTTCATTATGGGGTCTCTGCACATGACACATAGACCTATTAGTAGGGGTTAGGTGTGTGTGTTCATTATGGGGTTCTCTGCACATGGCACATATACCTATTAGTAGGGGTTTAGGTGTGTGTGTTTATTATGGGGTCTCTGCACATGGCACATAGACCTATTAGTAGGGGTTAGGTGGGTGTGTTTATTATGGGGTCTCTGCACACAGCTCCATCACGTATCTTACAATGATTGTTCCAGAGTAGAATCTTGTGTCGTCTTGTTGTTAGATGTAGAAATGACGACATTCTGCTCCCCAGGGACATGGCTAGCACTAATTATAAGGCTGCACAGAGCTGCTGTTGTGGAAAGTGTCTGTGAATGTTTATGACATGGGTCCGTGTTGTATGGAGCATGCTCTCTATACATTACATGTACTTCTTGTCCACACGGTGGCTCTGCTATAACAGACTTTCTGGCTTCCTATAGAAGCGCTGGTGTCATTCAAAGTTCACACAACTGTGTACAGATTGCAATAGAAATGTTTAAACATTTTAGGCAAAGCTCTAAATGATACATATTATAAATAGACAAGCATGCAGCAAATGTAAACATTGCATGTGGGTCGTGCAGCTCATTGGGATTAATGATGTAGAGGTTGGGTAGTTCGCTAAATGTATTTAATCCAGATCATGTAGTCCTAGTGGACACATCTTCACCCTATTCACTAACATACACTTAGCTGGATGAACATTGGCTTTGCTAGGTGAACCGCCTCTACTTCTTTAGTACCCCTTACAACCCAATTGTCATGGCTTGTTCCCGCCATATATTCCTCACCATGTATTTTGCAGCACATGGATATCTACTATTTTAAGTCTAATCCGGTCCACCTATATATAGCATTGCAGTGTGTTGGAAAAAAAAGTCATGCATGCTACATTTTGTGCATATTGACCTGCAGCTTGCCATTTCAAATTAAGACTTTCAAAAACACAATGCAATGCACATTAATGCATATGTCCTATGCAGATTGTAGAAGTTACAGAATGATGTGTGTACCATATGTCAACCAAGGCAGAAAGTGAGATGTCTTTAAATATAGGTCATGGAAATTCAGAGTTACATAGGGTCTTGCATTGATGACACGGCTAGTTGTCCCTGGGTACACATGTGTGGTTCAGATGTACTGGAAGGATTATGTATTTGTTTTAACCAATGGAAATCTAGGGATAGATGGTGCAGAACCCAGGTTTTCTAAAGGCTCCTATTGAATTTTATGGGGTCAAGTCTGTGCAATTCTGCCAGAAAAATACTCATGCACCTTTTAGCTACAAGTGGAAGAAAAGCTCAGGTGTGATTGGGCACCATTAAAAAGAATGTGATTCATCATGTTGAGTGTTATCGCACTTTGGGATATGCGTACCAAACTGTCAGGTGTGAATGGCGGCTTATATGTACTGCTTGCAGTTCTGCAGATAGAGACTATTATCACTTACCAGACTTTGCTTTTGTTCAGATCATTTAGACCTGGCACGTGACAGGTTGCTGTCTGACTTCCCTTCTCTTGGCGGCAAAAGTCGTCCACGCCTTCTCTGTAAAGTAAATAAATATTGGAGGGATTTAGCATAGCATGCAGTGAGATCACAGCTCAGTGTTCTTTCATACAGTATGCCTTCTATTAGTAGAATGAGGCTGCTGCCCTGCACACTGAAGAACAATACAAACAGTAGCAAGTTTATAGATGGGGCATTATATCTAATATACATGTATGTGTGGATTTGTAGTACACATAAATAAAGAAATACACACACAATAGAACTTGACCTTCATTGGTACTCTTGTTTACTTATGTGAAGTCTGCTATTAACAAATAGACTATCATATCAAATAGACTTCTATATATTAAAAAGGGCCATTAAAGTTAAAGTTATACCAATTACCCTAAAAAAAGAATGCTATTCAGTAGTCACATGATTTCAAGAGCTTTGTTCAGATGTCTATTTTGCATGGCGGGGGAGGGAGGGGGGCTTGGTTATTGAGAAAGATAGCATCTAGCCAGTACATGCTATAAATCAACCTACCTGAGCAGGGCTGGGGGTGCAGTGGGGAGTCAGTCAGGCTAACTACAAGGATGCACAGCGTCTTGTAGGTCATATTCATAGGTTGGACTTGATGGACATGTGTCTTTATTCAACCTCAAATACTATGTAACTATGTTAAAGTTAAAGCGACACAGACTGACCATACAAACACAGATCTGCTTCCATGCTTAATGTGGTCACAAACCTACAGGAAGGCTTGGGGACTGGCAGGATCACCAGGTATTTAGGGTTTATTCCATTCAATATATTAGTAAAAGGAATCAGTATTTAGATTATGAGGAGCAGAAGAATGTAGTCCCAAAGTTTTACTTTAGGGTAGCATACACCTTATGAAGTACTATAGTGCAAAAAGCAGCTTCGCATGCTATCATGGATTTTATGATGGAATAGCCAATATTTATATCTGTTTAATTCCACCCATATCCTCTGCTGCTAAAGAATAACAACATCTAAAGTATTTGAATTATATTTTGTAATAACGTTTACACTTTTACATGGTGAAAATCCTTAAAAATATCAGGTTGTTTGATAAGCATGCTGCTAGTTTGTTTACAGAAATAGAACATTGCATAATACTAAGTATATATAATATTGTTGATTCTCCACAGCAGAATGCCTGTTCCACGTTTAAGGATGAGACCTTGGCTTGAGAAGCAGATTGAATCCAAAGCGATCCTAGGTCTTTCATGGATTAACAAGGTACTAAATCTTTTATGGTGCGGTTTATTGCAGTCCTTCCATGTGAATATGTATACTAACGGTGTTCTGTTATTGCCTGCAGGAGGAGGGGATCTTCCAGATCCCATGGAAGCATGCTGCCCGGCATGGCTGGGACATGGATAAAGATGCCTCTCTTTTCCGCAGCTGGGCTATTCATACAGGTAAGCTTCAAAGTTCAAGTTGGGTTTTGGGAACTAACATTTGCATTAGTGATGTCATACCTGGTGTTATGGTTGGGATGAAGAGCTTTGTTGCGTGGAATAAAAATGACAAGCCATTCAGTATTGCTTTGATTTATTGTCAATCATGCCAATGATTCATAAGCAATAATTAACCTAGGGCTTGTTCACACCAGATGCGTTGGGGTTGCACTGGTAGCCTTTCCCTGTCTGAGCGCATAGACCATGCAAAAAGCCTTGTTTTCAATGTGGTCAGTTCACACCATGACATTGCAGTGGCATGCATGGAAATAAGTACTGCATGCATTACTTCTTTACAGTGCAGCATGTGGTGAACAGAACTGAATAAAATGTAATTTGTAAAATTCCAATGGAGTTCGAAAAAGAAACTGTTCCGCCAGCAACCAAGCATTCAATGCAACTGACTGGTATACATTAGTGCTGCCTCCTATTCTCCCATTCTAAATAACCGCTGTGCATGGGATTAAAGGAGACGGATATCAGGACAGATTATGGCATTTACATAAATACATAATGTACCTATATTTGGAGTAAATAGTGTTTTGAGGTCTGCCTGAAGTTCAGATTTTAAGGGTATGTTGGGTAAGCCTTTATGTCGGTCATCCGTGCAGATGTCTCAGGGGAAAACAGTTTTACATGGCCCAGCTAGCTCGTTCTCCAAAATAAGTCAGGCAGAGGGTTCTGGAGGAGTCATGAATACTCATGGACATAACATTGTTTACTGATCTGACTGTAACTGACCAGATTGGATGATTGTTATGTCATCTATCTGGTGACCTTTTTTCCAGGTAGTGTTCAAGCAGTAATCAATCAATACCGAAAAACTGCCCATGTAATAAGTACTTGTCACCAACTCTGCTTTCACAGATCTTTCATGCTGTTTTGTTGTTTTATTTATACAGGAAGATACAAACAGGGCGAGAAGGAACCTGACCCAAAGACCTGGAAAGCAAACTTCCGGTGTGCAATGAATTCTCTTCCTGACATTAAAGAAGTGAAGGACAAAAGCATCTACAAAGGCTCTAGCGCTGTACGAGTCTACAAAATGCTGCCGGCACCAGTTAAGACAGAGAAAAAAGGTATCACCCTTTCTATATTCTGCATTTTAACATTGAACAGTGATATATGACTGCTGATTGGCTACTGAGGAGTTAGTACGCAGCATGCAAGTTTGCTTCTGCTAGACATGCAGGAACCATTTTTAGGCGTCTAAAAGAATGTGTTCGCAAGAGATAAAAGTCTGCAATATTACAAGAAGTTCAGACACCTTAAGACAGTTTAGATGTGTTTTTACTTTATACTAGTTCATTGTTATCGGACATGGTTTTCTACATGTCAGTAAATACACTATTGTAAAATATATAAATGCATACATTGAATTAGATCTACTATAGGGAGAAATGCTGTTCAATTTGCAAGAGAATGTTCCCTTAACTTAGTGAATGAGGTGAAAATTTGCTAAGAATAGCCAATCACGTGCAAGGAAAACAAAATCCAGTATTTTTGCATGCACATAATTGGGTGATGGAAGTCAGCAGAGCTTCACCTCATTCACTAAGCTAAGAGAAAATCCCCTTGCAACCCTTGTCCCATTTAATCTGGGACAGGGGTTGGCAGCCTTGGCACTACAGCTGTTAAGGAATTACAAGTCACACGAGGCATTGCAAGACTCTGACAGCCACAGGCAAGATTCCCAGAGGCAGAGGCACGATGGGCTTTGTAGTTTTATCACAGCTGAAGTGCTGAGGTTGCCTACTCCTGTACATTTTTATACTTTACCAGATGTATAATAAAACCTGTATAATAATCAGCACCTTGCTTTTCTTTTATAGAACGCAAGTCAAAGTCTCTGAAAGATTCTAAGAGCAAACCCCGAAAGAAGGTACGGCTTTGATACTCGGCGCAGCTATGTGTTCGATCTGTCTACAATTGTGCACCTGCACAATATTTGCAGACGTTTTTGTGGTTAACGTGGTGTGCTATTGTGTCTTCCGGTTGTAGGTCGACAGCTTGTCAGCAGATGAGTTGGAAGAAGCTGTGAAACACTGTCAGCTACCAGAGGATCACAGCGGTTACACAGCACCAGATTTCTCAATACAGGAAGCTACTGGCAGTTCAGATATAGGTGAGTCTGAAAATCCGGTGCTGGTCTTAGTAAATCGATTCCATGCCCACTCTGATCTGAAATAGAAGGAAGGGAAGATGTGTGATCAGTTGTTGATGTGGATTGATTTAAAGGTAATCTAGTATCTCAGGCAGTGATGTACTTTGCTAAAAAAGAAAGTCAAATAAGCCCTGTCAGTATTTTGCTTACTGGTTTACTATAACAGGACAAGAAGTCAAAATAGAGATGCTGCCTGGGAGATCCAATCAGATTCTTGATTGTATGACTCCATTTAAAGACATGAATGTTTGCTTTGGGCTTCACCTCCATTTTATAGTAAAGCTGGCCATACAGTAGCCAGCAGGCTGAACAAAAAACCTGACAGCGTGGATGGAAAATTCCCATCTGCCCCAGCGGGCTATTATATTTTGACAGCCTGCACCTACCACTGCTGGAATAACAGAACAGAGACTGCAGCTGATTGGTTGCAGTCACTGTTTGCCTGACAATTTTCCGGCTGGCTTTTTTGAGATCAAGATCAGTTGAGTAATTGACTTTTGAGGCGCATGCAGGGCCGCCCACTGTTAAGAGTTTCAGCTGATTGTATGGACTGTTTAAGACAGTGGTAGCCAAACTCCGGCCCTCCAGCTGTGGTGAAACTACAAATCCCATGATGCATCTCTCTCCGGGAGTCATGCCTGTGGCTGTGAGAATCTTGCAATGCCTCATGGGATTTGTAGTTCCACCACAGCTGGAGGGCCGGAGTTTGGCTACCCCTGGTTTAAGACCTACTAATACTGTTAGCATACTGTCCCTGGTCATTGTTGGAAAGGTCTCATGATACTTGATGACAGTTGTAAAAAGATTAATGTGTACCTTATTAGTATCTACATTTGTGCTAATTCTCAATGGTTAAAGTCCAATGTAAATATTTGTTGCAGGCTTGAGTCAGAATGAAATCTCCATCGACGTGCCACCATGGAATGATGACATGGAAATGATATTACCTGATAGCACCAATGACCATTACCACTTCCAGGTGTCACCTATGCCATCAAGCTCAGAAGGTAATGGCCATAGTTTTCTTTTCTAACATTTCTGATAAAGCACAAATGAATATATGTATCTAAGACATTTCCTAAACACTGTCTACATTTACGGTGAGGATTTCACTTACCTGAACCCCGCTCCCCAGTGGTCAGCGCTGTCCTCTTCTTCCCTTCCACTCTGGCTGTGGATCCTGGATTTGTCATGAAGATGTCAGTGATCCTTAGACCACCAGAGTCCAAGGAAGGAGAGGCTGCGGGGACCAATTTAGCAGCATGGAAAAAGCCTGAGGGAGTGGGGATCAGGTAAGTAAATCTGCTTTTCTCCAGCCTCCTAGACATACATGAGCACTTACCCCTGCAGTGCGGGGGTAGCCCCACTGCAAGGTTACTTTTTTATTTGTCTGGAGATGGGTAAAACTACATTTGATGAAAAAACTGTCTCTTTTTGAATAATCCATTTGATCATGCATAATTGCACTGTCAAAACATAGCTTGTCCAATGCAACTGTGCAGAGAGCTAAATGGAAGAGTTGTGACTGCAGTTGCATTTGAAAATGATGGAGGGAGAAGAAAATATTAAATCTGATAGGACAACATAGACTACTGACAACATAGACTATAACTGATTGTTTAAGTCAAGTAAAAACAATGCGGAAAGGGATTTAATGATATTGTTGGGTTTTAATTATTTATTTATGTTTTTAATTTCTAGGCGATGATGGAGACATATTATCTGAGGAGGAGTTTTTAGCTGTAAGTAAAAATGTTATATTCCGTATTTCTCTTGTAATCATGAGAGCTAAAAATGTGTTCTGTGCAGGAAACTGATTTTCATTCTTTATTACAGATTCTGGACACAAACACAGACTGGCAGCCTACACATGTGGGTGGCAGAGGATACCTTACCAATGAACCGGGAACAGCAAGCAGTTATTTAAATAATCCAAGCTCTTTGTTAGACGAGTTAAATATGCTAGGTATGTACATTTGTATTCTCTTCTTTTATGTAGGGATTTATTTTAGAGGATTTATTGGTTTTCTTTTTGTTAAATGTGTAAACTGGTAAGTTTATTTGGTTCCGCAATATATCAGTATGTCAGCAGTTCCTAACATTTCCAGTCTGTCCATTAGGAAGAAGCATAACGTTGTATTGTTTCATGCTAAGATTTAAAAAAAAAACAGTAGTTAATGAGTTCATATAGTGCAATAGTACTAGTGTGTACTATAGTAATAGTGATACAGTCTAGGCTTCCTCTGCTTGGCCTTGTGTTGGCATGTGAATGTGGCTGCAAATGTTTTGGATCAAGGTGAATTTTCTTGTGTTACTAACAGTTTTTAGAGGTATATAACATTTTTCTCTTTCTATTGTTTCAGGAGAGATACAGGTCCGAGTCACTACAGACATGAAACCTACTGAGTTTACATGGCAAGAACTAACAGCCATCACCTGTTTATGAACTTCATCTCGCTCCATCAAACCTCTTATGATGTGATCCTCATATTTGTGTGTATATGAGTCAAAAATGGACTAATGTGGGACTAAGCCACAGGTCACACCATTAGATATAGGTGATCAACTCAGGACTGTCCAGTCTGTAGCTGGTTGCATATGAGCACTGACTACTCAGATCCTGGAAATGCATCTGAAGCTGGAAGGACAAGTCAGTGTTTGGACACTGCCCTTTGCTGATATTTGGCACAAGGAACACAGCTGCGTTTGGACCTCTGGAGTTGGGAAAACACTTAACTGAAGATTGTTCACTACATTTTGAATGGCAGTGTGTCTTAGTAAGGGAACTTATATCTCGAACTGTGAAGTCAAGTTCATGTGAAGTATCACAACATCAGGAACCAGTTACTGTACTGCTAGCTATAATGGCTTACAAGGAGAGTGTGTTTGTCATTCATGTTTTGTTAAATGTAAGCAGAGGAAGTCTGTAGTAGCTGTAGACTTTAATGTCCTCGCAGAAAGGCACATATTCCCAGAGGACGAATGAGAGATGGTAAATGATTAAGACACACATTGTGCTGTTTTTGAGCTACTCTGCAGTTAAACATAGTGTCCATTAATTGCTTTCAGTTCACCGGTATGTTCTACATTTTCCATTTCAGTCACATATGTGATTGCGATGGATGTGTGATTGATAGTACCAAACCTACCATGTGGAACCTGCGTGAAATACTGCAGACGTTCCTGAAAGTTTTCTTAAGGGGTATACATAACGTGTATGTAAGAACATCATATTTTCAATGCGGTAGTTTAGAACTACAGTATGCTTGAATTACTGTGACATCAAAAAACGTTTTTAAGTGTCAGTTGACACAAAGCTGATAAACGCCTTAAACGTTTTTATACTACTTGGAGAATTATGTAGCAAGATCTCTATTCCTTGTCTGCACAACTGCTGGAGCGATTATACCACTCAATAGTGGGTAGGAACTTTGGCCGAGAACAGTCAACAGAGATGTATAAGAGGCACCTTAGTGAATGATTCCACCTTTAACAGAATATGACTTTTGGGTGGACTGAATTTTAACTGCTTTTTCACAAAGAAGTGCTAGGATCCAATCACCTTGCATTACAAGTTAGTAAAACTGGGAGCTTACAGTCATCTATAATGTGGCCAGTTTATGAAAAAAAGAAAGGCTGCTCTTTTGTCATTAAATACGCAATGTGAATAAATAGGAGTAATGCAAATATGCTTCTGCTTCCATTTCAGAGTTCCTTGTAACTCAATTGCTTGAAATGTAACATAGCAACCACATCTCTGTAGACAGAATTCAGGTAATCAGATATCCTGGATATGAAGATTCTGGATATACAGTAGTAATTAACTGTAGGCTGCTGTTTATTACTCCTTGCAGACATTCACATGTATGACCTATGTTTCAATTACAGTGGGGACAATAGAAGCAGCTGTACAGTGATCATATATTTTAGCAGATGCAGTCACTGTATGCTCATATCTAACTTCCTGATATGCAAGTGGATATTGACTAACCATAACATAAAAACATATTTTTGGCAATGGATTTTAAACATGCTAATTGTAGGTATCAAAGCCATTGTATCAGAATAACAGCCTGACAGTTGGCATTTTTAGCAATGGATGTCTCCATATTTCTCTTAATACAGATTTCCTTTGAGCAGAAAGGGCTTTTTTTTGGTATATTGTACAGCTAATGTTTTTTCATTCATTCATGTTATATTTTTATTGGACATACTCGTGTGTGAAATAAATTGATGTACAACTCCCATGTTTAAAAAAAGAAATCATACTTATTTTATGCTGTCCTCTGACCACATGGCCAAGTTCAATCCCATATTCTCATTACGTTTCTGTATATGGCTAGCTGTTTTTCACATGTACTATACATGTCTACATTTGTAAATACTATGTATTATTATTTCTTCTACCAACAGAATTAAAGTGTTTAATACTGTTATGCATTTGGGCATTTTTTTAATAGAAATTAGGAATGTTGTGTATAAAATGAGGCTATTTTATGGGTATTCTACAGATTATTCAGTGTGGCAGAGTGTTTTTCATCAGTACAAGTAATGTAGAAAACAGGAAAAGAAATCTGGGTGGAGACTTTCTTGTCCTTGAGCTTCTTTGCACTGTCACACATAGGAGGACTGAGTTGCTTTGAGGTCTGTTCACATTCACATATACATTTTCCTTTTTACTGGTCTCAGGCTGATAACCTTGTTTCTGTTTTACATTTAATT